CCGGCCCGAGGCCGAGCCGGGCACTGAACACACGAGCTCCGTCAGGACTCGTAATTTAACTGTATTTACCTGTTACATTCAGTGGACGCCGCATAGAAAATAAACGGTGCTTTGTTTACAACACGGGACCCCAGTACGGTGCTGTTTCAGTGTTTCTGCAAGGCACTGTAACAACACGAGCCCTGCCCAGAGAATGGTGACCCAGTAGGTAGTCCAAGGAGCCACAGTAAAAGGAAGGGGCTGCTACAAAGGGAGGCACTGTAGCCCAAATTTGGGCTTCTGGTTCAGCTCCCCCTTCACTTGCTGGTGTAGATGAACTGGCTCAGGTTAGATTACCCTTGTGGACAAGCCAAATTGGCTGTCTACTCCCTAGTTTTTGCTGGCTGATTGACAGATGTGCATCTACCTGGTAACAGCAAACTTAATTTACCTTAAGTGAGACCTAGAGTGAACGTCGCATCTGTGCTACTTTGCTATATGGAACATGGTATCAGGAACCTAAAGGGAGCCTCCAGTGTCCTGAAGAGTGAACAGGCCCAAATAACTCCTGAAAGCACTCGCTCAGCACAATACAGCACTTTAGTACTGGCACGATTCAGTCTCCAGTTATAACATGTAATGAGCACGCTGTTCCTTGATGGAATAGAACACTTAGAGATCTGTATTTTATTTTTAATTTTTGCTTTTAACTTCCTAGCTACAAAAATTGTTGAAAAAACTTCAGAGACACTGAGCAATTTAGAGAAATGTGGAGAGTGATGAAAACCCTGACCAGCACAAACTACTCAAGTTAGTTAATTTACTATTTCAAGTTTCTGTGCCCAAATGTCAGGTAAGACTGATGTGAATGTTTAAATAAATCCCTCCTCCAAAGGAGGATGTCGGTGTAGCTGCAGGGACTTGTAGCTGGAGTCATAGCACTCCTGCTGGCCCCACCGCAGGGCTAACGGGCATCGTTGAGCTGCCTTGCCACGCTAAGAATATGCTTTGCGCCCTTGCTCAGAAGTAAACTAGCTAGTTCAACACCAAGGTTCTCTGCAGCTTCCTGGGCCTGACGAGGGATGTTCTTGGCTGTGATGCCAACATGCTGCACATCATCGTTCGGTCCATCTTCATTCTAAAAATATAAACATCTCAAGATAAGGCATCAGGAAGGAGCAGGCAGTGAATTGTTCAAGGCACCATGAAACAGGCTAAAATCTGGTCTGAGGAGGCTCAAGAACAGTGTGCTGTTACAGCTCCCCAGCAACCAGCCCAAAAGCAATGTATTTCAAAAGGTCTGGTTTTGTCATTCAGCTCAAGGTTTGAATTTTGAAGCCACCGTGGTTCACATACCTGTTGCGGGTAATTAACACTGGCCTGCATAGTCTCCTTCAAGCTATCACAGCCATCCAAGCTGTAGACTGCTCCTGTCAAATACAACTTGGAACGATACACAGAATAGATTAATACCACAATAACAAACAAACAAAGCCCTCTTAAAAAAACCCCAAATATACAACATACTAAGCTATGCAAGAATAGCACTACAAGTATAAGAAAAGTAATCTCTCTCAGGGAAGATCCAACTTCCCAAGGAAAAGACTGAACTTTCTTTCCTGTTTCCCACCTCCTTAATCACACTTCATTGTCTAAAAACAGATTTGGTGGGGCCAGAAGTGAGACTTTCAGACCTCAGGGCAACACTACCTTTAAGGGTAGGTGAGGTGGGAAATCTGGAATGTATTATAAGGGCATCCTCTAGAAGACAACTTCAGTAGCCAGATTCATTCCTCTACTGCTTTGGACACAAACATGGAAGGCTTGAGTTAGGAGACTATCAGCCCTAGCTGGCTATAAAGATATCTGCCGAAATTATCTTCAGGGAAGGATCAGGGAACATGCACACACTGGAATGGGTTTTTAGAAATAATAATCCCAGATAAAAGCAAAGTACTCCTCACCTGTCCATCTTTCAGCAGGGTGTTAACAGCAACAGGGACGCTACATCCACCCTCCTAAAACACAAAGCAGCTGATGACACTGAGGCTCTCAGCCAAAGCATTCAAAGCAGAGGCATCTGAAAAGTTTAGGATGCACACAACCCCACCCACCATTCTTCAGGCCCTTCTTGATTCACAAGTAATCTTCACAGTGTTAAGAAAGTCTAACAGATTTTCCACGCTATAGCATCGAATCAATTAGAAAAGCAGTATTTACTGCTGCAGGCAGACGAGCAAGGATACCAGACCTACCAAGTGCTTCATAAAGGCTCTCTCAGCAATGCAGCATAACACAGTGTCTGCATCATGCAGGGCAGATACCATACTCAGTATCTCTTGGTCTTTGGCACGAACTTCCACTGCTAAGGCACCCTAAAAATAAAAACACACAATAAATAATAATTCTCCAACTTCATGCATCAACGTGTGCACTCAGCATTGATCATGAAACAGAACTCAGAGGCTTGGACTCTGTTCACTAAGGGAGTGATGTTTACAGAAATTAATTACAAAACTCTCCACTGGCTGCAGAGTCATCCTATAGCAGCTGCTATAAACAGAAGACCAGAACTTATTCAGCCACGTGCTAAAGATCATGCTGACACCTCAATCAATTCTAGACCCTATCTCAAGCAGTGGAGGGTGAGGTGGGAAATCTGGAATGTATTATAAGGGCATTCTCTAGAAGACAGCTTCAGCAGCCAGACCCATTCCTGTACTCCTGCTTTGGACACAAACATGGAAGGCCTGAGTCAGGAGACTATCAGCCCTAACTGACTATAAAGATACCTGCTGGAATTATCTTCAGGGAAGGATCAGGGAACATGCACACACTGGAATAGGTTTTTAGAAATAATAAGACATGTCTACATACATAGAAACACTCACCCTACTGTGCCTTCAGGAACGAGCAGGCTGGGTAAATCCAAGGGTTACAACCTTTTCTCAAGATCAAATCAAGTGCTCAATGGGTAACAGTGACAAAACAATGATTTCCTATACCAGATACGAGACTGGAAGGAGGCACACTGCACAGTACCTGACCAACACGTGATCAAAATCACTACTTCAGACTGACTGTGCAGATTTGTCACTTGCAATCACTAATGGATCACCAGCTCTGGTTTAGCAAGTTTGATCAACTGGGCAATCCTGCATAAAGTCAGCCACACTGCCAGCATGGGCTGGAACAGTTTGCCCGTCTAGAAACAAGAGCACTAAGTGCTCCAAGACAGGTGTTTCAGGTCCAATCTGCAGGATTCAGGACACTGTGTGTAAGGGTTAGGGTTAGGGTTAGGGAGGGAGCGTCACAGGACAAAGATTCTGCAGTGGCTCTGCACAGCTATCCCAATCCTGCCAGAGCCTGCCTGGTATCTGCCATGCTGCCCCGTTGTGGATGTGCACGTGTAACATTTCCCATTTACTGTTTTTCCATGACTGGTAGAAATCAACCCCCACCATGCTGGGTAACAGAGTTTCTTCCGTTATTCCCACAAGCTGTGCCTAAAACAGCATAATGGCCAACAAAAGATCGATGTAGTAGTTTTCTGGCAACCAACATGCGACAAGTCCTCAGCACAATTAACTACTCAGGCACACGGTACTGCTGCTGGCTTTCAACAGGCAGCACGGCTTAAGATACCAAGGTTGCAACATACCTGTCCAACGGCATACAGGCAATCTTCAGGGCTTAGGAGCTGGAACAAAGTAAAATCAGGTAACTCAAGTTGCACTGTTCAGAATGTAGGAAATGAGAGGCAAATTCTATGCTTGTCTTCTAACAGCAACTGATTTTGTGTCAGACCAAAGAAATACAAAGAAATCTCTCCATTCCCAAGCTTCCGTGTTTTGACCCCAAAAGTGAAATAATACACTTTCTGCCACCTGGACTGCAACACTTTGTGAATTAGCTAATCACGAAAATCTTAGTCATGCACAGTGCTGCGCTGATAGACACAACTGCTGTGAAGACCATTAGATTACAAACTGTTACTGAACCATGGAAAGCTGAACAGAATAGGTTTCTGTATGAATTAAAAAAACCAATAAACCAAAAAAAAAAAACCCTAACCAAAAATCCTCCCTGAAGTGCCTCAAATAACAAGCTAACATGGCAATGGAGTCAGCAGACTGTGTGCTCATCTTGGACAGGACAACTGCAAGGTCTGAAAGGCAAGGTGATGGTTTGGCAGAAGATGGTATTTTCTGCTTTGCTGCTACCCACCTGGCCGATGCGATTCTCCCAGCCCATTCTCTTCAGGCCAGCAGCAGCCAGGATGATGGCACTGAAGTCTTCCTTTTCATCTAGCTTCTTTAAGCGGGTATTTAAATTTCCTCTCTGTAGAACTGATTAAGCAAGCATAGAAACAGTAGACAAACAGGCCTACAACCACTTGAGTCCTTACAGACTGTACAGAATCCAACAGCCTCCAAATGAGAACATCAGTACCATCCTGAAAGAAGTGTTAAATATTGACAATTGCTTCTTTAACTAGAATTTTTCTGCGCATTATGCAATATTCAAGTGCTGACTCTGAAAAGATTTATGTCATTTAAGTACCCCATTAACATCCAACTCCTCCTGCACTGCAAAAAACTCAGCTCTGAGGACCAAAGTAACAATGTGTTTTCTCAGTAGTTCAGCCACCCACATGGGAACTAGTGATCCAAATTGCAGCCAGGGTCATTGGAAACCACTGGCGCTTGGTCACATGCCTGAGACAAACACATGGGAGGCACCATCAGGCAGCTTTTCAAACATCCCTTGACATACAAACCATCTGCATGCTCAGCCCCAGCTAGATCAAGGCTGGCCCCTGACTCACAGCCTCACGAGAAAGCAGAGGACAGAATGGCTACAATGCTACACTCCCTGCAGAATAGGGTAATAGAGGGCAGCCTCTGAGGAAGCAGTTTGTTCTTGTAGGTCTGGCACTACAAACCAGTCTTGAATCTAGATTTTTGCATTAAGTTTTTTTTTCCCATTAGCAACTCTACCCAGCTCCCACATTTCACTAGGAAAGGATACAATATCCCTGAATTCTAACTGAGGGAACTTCTTTTTGAGTTGAGCTGCTCTCCGAAGTGAACTGGTTCCAATCACACTGTGGGGAAAAATAAGATCACTGAAATTCAGAATACTCCTAACACTTACCTGCAGCCAGTGATATGACAGAACTTTCAAGGAAACAAGCAGTGACTTTTTTTCATATTGAAATGAGGATCTACAAACTAGGCAATGATTTATAACTCCTTAGAAGAAAGAAAAACACTTTCTGAAGTTTAGCATAACGCCTGGCTGAAGCCAAGCAGCCATTTACAGGAGATGCTTCTGGAGGGCAGTCCCTAGCCACTGTCAAGGACTGATACAACCTCATTTAAAGACCACAATGCTTATCATTGAAAAAAGACTCAGCTGCCCGAAATGAACCAGACAAAGCCAGATAACCGAAGTGACTGAAATGGAGGGACTTCGTCAATGACCTTTGAGAGTATAGCTAGGAACCGCAGCAAGGGCCAGTCTGGGCAGTGAGCATTTCCTTTCTCAAGATATATGCTGTTTGCTTGTCTTGGTAACCTGGAACCTAAACCAGTCATGATTTTCCTGCTATCGAGCCGTGTAGAAGCAAGAGTCTGTGTTTGTGTCACGACTAGTAATACAGAAGACACAGGAAAAAAAAAAATCTTTCTAATAGGTACCTTGATCTGAGTAATTTCACTCAGCTGCTTCAGACGAAAGATTCCAACAACCTCTATGAAAAGGCAGGTAATTCAAATAGAGAAATCACAAGAAAGTGATGCCAAAAAAACAATGAAGAAATCCAAACTGTTTGGGTGAGAACAAGAGCATGTCACAGTTCAGGCCCATGAAAGCCAAAATCCTGCTCCAGACACCCTGTCTGATTTGTACGCATTCCCTAGCAATAAGCGCAATACAAAGGAGAAGGAATTCACACTGCAGACTGTGATAAGAAAGAGTCTAACTTGAGAAAACACTGCAGCACAAGGATGGCTTGAGACATCCAACCTCACGAAGCGTGCAGCACTCCTATGAGACAGCATTGCTCTTTCCAGCAAGTGAGTCCAGCATAATGTCTGTGGAACGCTCACAAAAGGCAGTATAAAACCACTACAGGATGAAGCAAGGAGCTCACGGACTTGACACAGAAAGTACCAACCAGCTCCTCCCATTTTAACAGCTGACTC